GCCTCTAGTTGCGCCGGCGTAGAAGTTACGTAAAGCGCGCGTGCTGAGGCAGCGCTCATTGATTGGTTCCCGGTCAACAGTCGTCTTCGTGCAGTTCGCTTGGAAAGCTCAGCGCGATCTTCCAGCCACGGGACAACTGGGCGCTGCTTATTCATTGTGACGGCGTACGCTCCAAAGAACTGCAGCCCGGACGAAGCTAAAGATAAGTTCTACCGCCAACTCACAAATCTCCTCCGCAAGAAACGCCGCACGGACATCATGACACTCGCCGGTGACCTAAATGCGCAGGTCGGTAGACTAGAGATTTATGAGCGTGAACCTGGGGATCAACACAGCCACGGTAATCGCAGGACGGACAACGGCAATGGACTACTTCAACTGTGCGCCAATCACGGCTTGTTCCTCTCCAACACAAATTCCAGACGTTCTTGGCGTCAACAAGCCAACTGGTGACCTCCGGCACTTGGTTAATCTTGGACGCAACTTGACCACATCGCTGTTAGTTACCGTTGGCGAGGCAGCATAATGGACCGCAAATCCATTTGGAACACTTATCTGGCTTCGGATCATGCGCTCTTGTGTGCTAAGCTCGTTCTGAGCTTTGGAGGCACCCAACAGCGTCGCCGAAAACGGTTTGACACAGACAAGCTTGCCACCCCGAATGTTCTCTGCGCATATCAGAACACAGTGGCCTCCAACCTACGTCATGTATCATCCGATTTTGAGACACACTGGGCACAGATCCAGAGCGCCTTACGAAAGTCCGCAACCCTGGTCTTTGGCTTCACTAGACGAGCTGCTAGTCATTGGATCTCCGCAGTCTCTCCAATAATGGAAAGTCATCAAACAATTCCCGCCGGAGTGGAGTACAACGCACTATGCAGAACCACTGGTGCTGAGCTCAGACAGCTCCTCAGGAAGAATCGCAAGATTTGGTGGACACAACGCGTCGTTGAGATGGAGCGGGCAGCCTCATCAGAAAATTATCGCAAACTCTTCAGCTTTTTGCTCCACGGGAGGCAGAAGACCAAAAGTGAATGAGGATTTGTGTGAAAATGACGGTGAACTAATTCACAGACATCACCGTCGTCTGGTACGACGGGCAGAGCACTTCAAAGATCAATACAACTGAGCAGCGGCTACCACGACGAGCCCGGTTTGCGAGCACAGGCGTGGCTTGGAAACGAGGAAAAGGAGGGTAATGTAAAACTTGGATCCAATGCATTAAGGCGCGAACGTTGAAGCTGGCCGTTGTCGGGTTGGGGACCAAAGGATCCCGCATACACCTGGTTGCAGACGATGGAGATTATGGCTAAGGAACGTATGCCATAGCGCATTTGCTGTGTGACCCATCTACAATAACAGTTGCTTTCCCTACCAAGCTATTTTTGCTTCATATGTGCTGTGACACTCAGCCAAGTATATTGTAATTGGTATAGTGTTGATTATATATATGTATATATATAGCACAGATTGTGTATTATATATATATATATATATCAACCACGATCTCATTATTTAGCCTTATATAATTTTGCATAGTAATTTTTTGGTGCACAGCAACCAGCTGGTAGCTTACCGGAACGATGCCCATCCGTTACCGGTAGCTCAGCCAGCTTGCACCAGTTGCATTTTTTTTCTCCTTTTTTCTATGTATTGCGGCACAGTAGCTGAGGTGTTCCCCACCTCTAGCTAACGTGTATGATGAGGATGATATATATATATATGTATAGTAGGGTAAGCGGACGACGCACAGCTGTTTAAGGGTCGAGCTTAGGCGGTGCATGCGCTGTCGAACAGGATGACACATGACTTTATGTACTGGTAGCCCAGGTTGATCGTTCTTGGGTCCAATTGTTCGCCGAGCTTCGTAATTGGTATGCAGACGTTTCATCACCATGCGAGGTGACTTCCTCAGTGCGCTGTAGGGTCAAACGTAATCCGCTGGTTTGGTCGTCGATTTGTGATTGATTAGCAAGTGACTTTTGTATTGGCCCTCTCAATCTGTGCCCCGTGACCATTCGTCTACCCAGCTTCCCTGGTGAATATGGGCGTTCCATAGGATGGTTTTGGCTCGGTTGTTGCGGCTGTGTTATTAACGGGTCTGTTAACTGCTTTCGACGGTTATTAAGTTGTTTTAATTCTTTCCGTCTTAGCGTTTCGTAAACCGGGTCAATCTCGGCGTGCATGTTTATCGAGTGCTTCGTCGAGCACCATGCCTCGAGGAACTCTCTTCCTTTTTGTGTCTCTCCTTGCGCTAGGATTTCTGCGTTGTTCCAGTCGAACTGATGTCCTTCTTCGTCTGTATGTATTGAAACAAGTGAGAGAGCATAATGGTTCTTACAAGCTCTTTTATGCTCTTGTATTCTTGTAGACAATTGTCTTCCTGTCTGACCCACATAGTTCTTATCGCAATCTTGACACCGTATCTTGTACACAACATTTCGTCTTTCTTGTGCTTTAGGTCTATCTTTGGATTTCGACAGGGTTCTTCTCAATGTGGCGGTTGGTTTGTGAGCCAATTGTAAGACCGTGCTGTTTGAATAATCTTGCTGTCATCTCGGAGATGTTCTTTACATAAGGTAGAACGATTCGATTTGTTGTCGTTTGAGCAGGCGGAGAGGTCGTAGCTTTGTTGTTTAGACATCGCCGGACAAAGTTGTGTGGATATCCATTTAGTTGGAATGATTTGAATAAGTATAAATCTTCTTTCGTTTTTGCTTCAAGAGCGCACTGAGGAAGTCACCTCGCATGGTGATAAAACGTCTGCATACCAATTACGAAGCTCGGCGAACAATTGAACCCAAGGATGACGCATGGCACGGCATTCTTTGGTATGTGCCTTACACATACAAATTACAAAGTGCCATCACAAGGCTGGGCCGACTCACTGGTAGTTCACATTATCATTCAAAAAATCGTTCGAGGTTATTTGTCTAGTTACATATCTGGGTAGCTGTAACACGGTTGGAGGTAACATTAGGGAAAATCTCGCCGCATGCACTGGTAAGGCTAGTGTGTCTACAAAAACCCAACAACCTATGGAGACAGTTAATCATGGGCGTATTGGCTAGGGGGAATGTACGACGCCAAATGTAATCAACGCGACTACTGGAATGCCAAAACCGGTTACCGCGCGTTAGGGACGCATAGAAAGATGTCGCGTTTGACTACGGATACCTGTGAAGTTAGCTCAAGTCTGGGGTAGACAACGTATGGTCTATGATGGAATTCGTCATTTGGTGTTTGGCCATTGTTGTGCCGCACGATCTGGACTTGAGATACAGCGAAGCAAAAGTACATCAATCAAGAAACAGACGATCGTTGAAGCAACCAATCAGATGAAAGGACAAGTGTGCGTTGACCAATGTCTGCGACGAAAGTGGACGCATGACACTAGAGGAAGCAATGACGGAGTGCACGATGGAAGTGACACGTCGGCAACACGCTGTTCGGTGCATCATTGGGATGCGTGCTAAACTCTTGTCAATTATGCTGTCGAACTCCAACTATGTACAAGCCGATAACATCCACGTATACAATTCACTAGTCAAAAGAATGGTTGAGGCGAACTCAGAAGTGACCGGTCAATGACGGAGTGAAGCATGCGCAGTGTAGTAATCCTGGTAGGCCATTGGTTCCAAATACCAGACGGGATTTGAGTGTGCATTTGTATTTCCCTTTTCCATCAAAAGACTGATTTAGGTAAATTGCTCACGAACCATCACACATGGTAGCTGGTGATAACAATTGGATGTAAGAGATCGAAAGCAGGAGCCCTAATGATTCCGCGGTTGCGCCATGTCGTATAAGATCTAACAATATATGTGAACTGCTCAAGAGTTCCCGTAGTTAATTTCTGCATTTGTTTATACCGAGTCATGGACTATACATCCCGTGGTTCTACCTCATTAGGTGCAGCGAAGGTAAACCATGCGCACGGAAGTAGCTAGGAAACAGTTCGCTAAGTAGAAGAAGGCATCAGCAGTACGCCGGTATGCAGTACCGATGCTTCGCTGCCGCACAATCACCAGCGGTCGCGTGCGGGCTAAGGATATCGCGATGGTCGCCATGCCCCTATACAAACTCGAACCCGCGCTGTCAGACTGCAAAACAAGCTCGCTACCTTTAGGCTACGGGCTATGTATAAAACATGAACTGGCCAATGACAGTGGTTCGAGTTTGACAGACGTTCCAGTGCGATATCGTAGAAGCTGTTGCCGAACACTAGTGGCGGACATCAGCACCGCACACGCGGAGACCCGTCAACTACGAGTAGTATACTTCAAAAGCCTCTGAGATCAAAAACGGCCACTACAAAACGACAATGCTTCCGATCCAATCAGTAACCGCACTGCAGCGTGCAGCCAGGTACACCTAGCTCAGGTTCTGACTCCATATTCTTACAACGCAGTAGCGAGCAAAATCGACTACAGATTGGCGGTGGGAGCTCCGCAGATTGATGTCTGATGGCGGCCACATAACGACAAAGTGTGTTATATCGATGTAGCAAATGATATGCTTGCGGTTAAAGCGCGCCACAGGTGCATTGTGGGGGGCTAATAGGTTCCGGTGTACATATCATGGAAAGTATGCTGTTTCAAATCAAGAAGCAGTTGTCGGCCCGTAGCCTAGAGGTAACAAGCTTGTCTCGTAATCTTGTGGCGCAGGTTCGAATCCGCGTAGCGGTGGGCGTCCACGTGGTATCCTCAGCCCGCGTGTGACTGTTGTTGGTCGCATGGAAGCGAAGCGCCATTACGGTATACGGCTGATAAATTATTTATTTTTATTGTTACTCAAGAAGCAGTTAGCGTGGTCAAACATAACTGGAGGCGCTCTTCGTTTGTAAGCGGACGTCCACTACTATGCCATGTTACGATGACAGACAGCAATCTTCAACCATGTTTACCCAATCATCATCCGTTGGTCCGTCTTGCAGGAGTGGATCCGAAGCACCTGGGAATTGTCAGCTAGTATAGCCTTGAAAAGCATGGGGAAATACGCGGCAGCAAAGGGATTGTTTATACGAAAGAACTAGAGACAACCAGTCGTCGGAAGCAAAAGATGATCTGCTCAGGTAAAAGTAGAGGAAGCTAGTAAAATGGTGTAGGTTGAGAAGAGGCCTTGAAATCCCCATTACAGACCAGTACAGCAATCGAAGGGGAGATGCGACATGGTGAATCACGATCGCCTTTGTTGAACATGATCAGTCCATCAAATGACTTATATCAAGGTGATGACAACAATAAAGCAGTGGATCGACATCTGAGACTAAGGGGGGTTTATAGAGGGGCTAGTGGTCGATGCCCAAAAGAGGAAAAAGTTGTGGGCAAGGGTCAACAGCATGTGGTTGGCCATCATTCGGTGGAGGTGGAAGACACCACTGTGGTGTAAGAGACTGTTGACAATAATCAGTCGACGGAAGCCGCCGTACAACATAAACGAGCTAAAAGGATCACGTGCCAGTGCAGTGAAGTGGAATAATGGACGGTAGGAGAGAAAGCCAAATCACGAACTTATTCCCAGATCGGAGTAGGGGTCACCAATAGACGGTTAAAACAGTGTCACCGTGCACATAATGAGAAACAGAAATTAAGGTTATATACGTTTCTGCTGCATACTCTGTACCGAGTGAAGAGGCGGGTCAGCCGATGAAAGTGGCGAGGTAAACAGTTGGGGTGACAAAATGAGGAGGTCGTACAGAAAATCTCAAGCGTTTGACAGATCAAATAATCTAAACGACAATGAACACGGAGGAACACATCGGAATGAAAAATGGAGATCAGAGGGTGCCAAAATATTGTATTGTATCGATTGGGAAATCTCCCAGACACACCGGAGTGACTAGGTGACTGTGGTAGGGTGATAGTGATGGGTTTTGTAGAAAAACATCCGTGAAAGGGCAATTGTATGGGTGTTGTGTATCTGCATGTGCGCGAGCTTATGAAAATCAGGGAAAGGCCACGGGGAACACCTCATTGTAATGGTTCACGAAATGAACTTCCAATTTTTCACGAATGAACTCTGGCAGATCATCAAAATCTTTGCGGTTCGTTTCAGGCAAAATGATACACGTTAGTCCGCCACGTTTGGCCTGAAAAAATAATGATGCCACGGTGAATAATACGCCAATAAGTAATGGAGGTCAAAGCATAAAAAACTCAAAAAACAACTGGTGATATGATGTATAAGCAATAATAACTGATGAATACGTGAAGCGATTCATCCAACCGGATGAGATGTCTAAGTGGTCACTTCTGTAGACTCCCTCAGATATGTGCGTAAGAGAAGAATCTTTCGATGTCAATGCAAGCTGATTGAGCAAGCTAACTTGTCATCAATACGCGGAACTCTCCTACGACCAACGGTATGACCGAACAGAGAGAAGCGAATGTGCAACAGAGATGATTCAAAAGCCGACAACTAGACGGAATAGCTGTATGGATTGAAGATCAACCAGGGAACTTGCAGTGTTCACATAATCGTGGACAAAGTTCCCCAAAGATAGTAGTACGAAACTGAAGCGAAATGAGAAAAAAGTGACGGTGCTTGAGTTCAAGGTTTCATTAGGCCAGACCTACGGAGCTGGTTGCAGTCTATATAGTTAAGTTGCTTTAGGAAACCAGAAATCACGGAACTGGTCCCCATGTAGCCAACACTCCGGTAGAAAATGAACTGAGAGAGTAATGGGGTGGATTTAGAACGCGGCCGATGGCGCAAAAAGTAACCGAGAACACATACAAACGGTTAGTTCATATAAGCATAAGCTTAAGCGGCGATACATTGAATCCTGTCGATAGCCAACACACAGCGCAGAAACTACGTATCAGGTAACAAGATGCGACTGTTACTGCGTAGTTACCTAGCAAAAACAACGCGCACTGTGCGGAATGTATGAACTGGTTGGTTTTGAAATGTGGGAATCGGAAGAGTTGATGATGATACAAGAAAATTCGCCAGTTCATTGTGGTCCATGTGAGAAAGAACTAGTCAAACGGGTTCCCAGATGCGCTGAAATGAAAGAGACGTTGGCGCGCCGTTTCAATCAAAAACGCAATACATCTCACGCACACAGAACCACAGATGATCCGAGCTTACTAAACGTGGTTAAAGAGAAAAACAAATTTCCCACACATCGCAAAAAGGGGAATTGTAAAGACCAGGATACCCACCGCAAGCACTTTCTCTTTTATCCCGCCGACTTGAAGGACTTTGCCAGTTAGACTGACTTCGCCCGTCATAGCCAAATCGGGTCGAACCGGTTTGTTGCAAGCCAAACTTAACAAGGCGGTAACCATAGTGATGCCAGCCGAGGGCCCATCCTGTAGAGGAGAGGACACAACATACCAACGATGTGAGAATCGACAAGAAAATGTAGCTTACAAGGTGAATGCTTCAAAATAAATCAAACGGTTGGGTCACAAAAGTAGGAAGGGCACGCAACTCATGAACACATGGATAAAAATGTTTCAGTATCACAAACATGCCCAAAGCGGGAAGAATGTAAGCGATTTCAGTGTACTAAGTTATAGATGAAAAAATGCGAGTGGTGCTTAAGCTTGGGATATTGGCAAAAAAGTAAAAACCCCTTGACGAGAGAACAGATAATGGAGTATGTTTCAATAAAATATCATCATATAGCGCCAGTAGTTGTGCTATGTGGAGCGCTCAATAAGGTTTAGTTGCAAAGGACAATATGGAGAATGACTGGGAAGCAGAGTTCAGAATGGAGCAGCATCGCATAGTACGGAGCAAAATGGCCAACAACTGATTCCATTGTGACGTGCAGACGTGTCGGGTAAGGCAGAACTAGGTACAAACAGAAACATCTATAAGCAACAAACGATTGGAAGAAGGGTGCACAGTGCAGCGTGATGGGGCAGGTGTAGAACGGGGTAAATAAGAGAGGTCTTGAGTCACGGGTGTTGTAAATCAGACAGTAGCCGATAACTACATAAGTAAGGTTAAACACGCAATAGGTGAAATGTAGCGGTTAGAAGCAAAAGAATGGAACACTATAAAACGAAAGCGCAAGGGTTATGAAAACGGCAGAAATCGGCGTGGACGAACTTTGGGAGTTGCGCCTTGAGGAACATGTAAATGTAGCTCAGCATGGCGTAGAAATTCGCCTGCCGACTTCGCTTCATCGGCGTTGAGCATATTCTTTATTGTGCCGTCAGCGAAAGGACACGGGGCACCGGAGAAAGCAAACAAGCCAGCAAAAGTGTGTGCGATAGCGACAGATTCTTTCATGACATTCCCAAGGCTTCCGGTTAGTTGGAGACTACCTGAAAAGCAAGTATGGCGAAAGATTTCCCCAGTTAACTTCAGAAACCTCCATAGTATGCTAATGGGGTCCGAAATGATAGTATGTTGCAGGAAAATACCCAAAAGGTGTCTAGATGAATAAAATGAGATTCTGCACAGTCCACCTATGAACCAGATCGGCCATCGCCATCGGTCGGACAGGAGTGGTATTGGGATCAACAGGGTATACGATAAGCACCAGCCAAGGAACCAACTAAATACCATCAGCAAACGCCACTTGATTCAAGACATAAAGGTGACAATGATAATGGAAGTTGCACCACAATTTTGGCTTTTCAAGGACAATCGTTGCGCAAGCGAACAGAAGAAATGCCGTGCGTTTGGTTTACAAACAATTCGGCCAGTGATATTTTTTTAAGTCTGTAATGCCAATACGACCCTCCCGACAACTGAAAACAATAAACCTGTCTAGTGTCTGTCTTGGTTTTGGAATAACCTAGATCATGATGGATATGGCTACCAAGAATCGGTATGCAAACGAACAACTCCGTGAGCCCATAATACACACGTTTAATCGCACAGAAGATCATACCGGATCTTGAAGTTCACGCGAGATGCTAGAGGTCAGAATCCACAATTTTATGTACGGTTCGGAACCACCAGTACTAGTTGGGCTAACGCTGTTCCCCTACTGTAGTTAGACAACGAAAATAACTGGTATGCAACAACGGTGAGATCTACGGTGGGTCCAATTAGAAGTGGCGACGCAGTAGATCGTGTAAATCAACCACTTCCTTGTGTTAGGAAGCGTGTCCATCCTTCGTTCGCTGAAAAATGCGTAACTCACTGTTTGAACAGCTAAGGATAGCTCAGTTAAATACAGCGCTAGTGAAGAGTATGATCGAAGCGAACTGGTAAGGGTGCTCAAAGTCGGATTCAAAGTACCCGTAATATGTTTGGATTGAGACTCGCAATCTCTTTCGATACCTCGGCTCACTTTGAAGTGGACTTCAGTAATTCCGATCACAAGGATCGTATACGAATTGGAGGTCGCGGTTCGGTGTTCATCATCCCAACACTGATACCTCCTCATGGGTTTCGTCCTCATTTGGACTCATCAAATGGAGATCGCCTGGGCTGGAGTGGAACTCGGCGCCCAGTGGTTCACGGCTGATGCCTTGATCACCATACCACTTAGATCCGTGAGTAACGCTTGGCGCAGCGGTATGGAATTCAAAGTTGGATTTGGAGTACCCGCAGTGTGATTAGATTGCGACTCGCAATCTCCACTGCAGACTTTCCCGCTTGCAGCCACATATTGCATACAACTACTATCTCATTGTAAATTAAGGTTTCACCGTTGTCTTCCCTAAAGAGTAATTGAGTCCCACGCCCTGAAACATAGGGAACTAGTTAAACGTTCGCTGTATTACAATACTAAACCATTATGAATCGTATCATATCACCTTGAAATGAAACGAGCGCTATCCAAGGAATATGCAAGATGGCTGTCATACCATTAGCTGTAGTGAAATCTTTGTGTGTACTTTGATACCTAGCCAATCACAACCACAGAAAGTCAAAAAGGTTCGGGCACTGCGGTCCCCAAACTGGTGAAGTTGTTGAGGAGCACCGGTATACATGCCATAGAGCCGCTAAATGATAGGTAACTAGGACGTCAGGACTCAATGCACCATACACCTTAAGCCTGTCGGCCGGCGCGCGCAATGCATTCACCACACGCAGTTGTATGCACAGATAAACGCTTAGAAACTATAGCACAAGATAGTGACAACCTGTCGTAATACAATGTAAACAAGTAGAAGCCTCAACAACCAAAAACCTATATGTATATATGTAGCTGAGGCTGGTGGTGGCTAGATCCTGACAGATGCTCCACCCACTGCTGCTACTGTTGCGCCATTGGCTCATATCCTGGACGCCTCCTCGTGGCGACCGCTGGGTGGGAGTTGGGTTTCGCCCTTCTCCCTGCTAAGATCCAGAACACCAATCCGCATGAGTCAGTGAACTAACCATATGCTAGACCCGCTGCCTTTCGGATGTACATTTAATCGAAGGCTTTGGCTGAGGACCCGAGTCATTCTTTTGTCAGGTGTGGACGCCATGCCAGTATCCTAGTCCATACTCTTCGGAGGTTAGGAAGTGGTCTATCGCCCTCTTCCCGTAAAACTTAGCCATGGGAGACAACAGGTTTACGGGTTATAAGCTCACAGCTCAATTGGCGTAGAGCACGAGCGCCAGGCACCGTCTCTGACGGTCGCAGGCCAACTCCGGGTGTTCAATATTTTCCTCAATCACCCACAGAGCAGGCAGCCCCTGGTCAAATTGGTGCAAACCCGCCAAAAACCCACCTGCGTCTGACCGTGGTCGCAGGTGCGTATCCTACTACGGTCGCAAAACATATATAAATCGTTCCCGTACATCAAAGGCTGCGTGTGACGGCCGTCAAGCAGATCCCAATCTGTCTCTGCAATCACATTCCCGAGCAGGATCTGCTCCCCACTGTCTTGTGGGTCAGGCTATTGAGCCCAGAACTCCGGATGGAGTCCCTCAAACAAACCTCCGAAGCACAACTGTCACCTCGCATGCGATTGCCCACCAATGCAATGGCATGCCTGCGCGCAAAGCACTCAGCATCGAATGTTGAAACGTGCGCACACTACTGCATCGGAACTCGAGTGAACGCCCCGAGTGACGCACTGCACTCATCGCGTTGGAACTGGCGCGTTACAAGATCGATATCGCGGCGCTCAGTGTAACCCGGCTCGCTGAGCAAGCTAACTTGCATGAAGCAAATTCTGGCTACACATTCTACTTGGTGGGCAACGCCGCCTCAGCATCACGTGATTATGGTTTCGGATTTGCAACATCCGATTGCCTCCATGGCCAGCTGGTGGGTGAACCGACAGGCATCAGCGCGCGACTGATGACTGTTCGCCTACGACTCGGAAGAGGTAAGTTTGCCACCTTTATAAGCACGTACGGTCCGACCATGTGTTATCCTGATGACACGCGTGATCCATTCTACATTCAGCTATCCTCCGTGTACGCTCTGTGCAGAGGAGCGACCGACTATTTCTGCTGGGCGATTTCAGCGCGCGCGTTGGGCGTGATGCATCGGTGTGGACAAATGTTATCGGTCCGCATGGCATTGGTCAAGTGAATCTGAACGGTGACAGGCTGCTCTCACTGTGTGCCACTTACGGTCTGACGAACATGAACACTCGGTTTGCACTGAGTGCGAGTGATATAGCAACTTGGATGCACCCACGGAGTGGTCACGCTCACCTGCTCGACTATGTCGTCGTAGGTCAGCGTGATATGTGTGAAGTGCGCATAACACGTGTACTGCGTGGTGCTGAGTGTGGCACTGATCACAAATTGGTGCGGACCAAACTGTACATATATTTTCGTAAATCTATGTATTGCACTCCCGCCGTGAACCGGCGTAAATTTAACAATCTCTCCCTCGGTACTGTGGCAAGACGTATTGATTTGGAGAAGGCGATGGCTGCACACCTGTGTGATGTGGACTGCATAGCCACAGTGGGCAACCTGTGGCACCACATTCGCGATCAGGTGACAGCTGCTCCTGAGGAGACCATCGGGCGCGCAAACTCTAAGCGGCCTGATTGGTTTGATAAGAACAACGCGACGACTGGCGCATCGGGGTCGGAGAAGAATGCAGCATTTTCTGCACATGTGGCAGACCCCAGTGACTTGGGGCAGAAGAAAAAGTTTGGCAGAACTTCGACGGCGACTGACCCGAGAGCTCCGTCGCATTAAAAATGCATGGTGAACGGAGAAAGCGAAGCAGATGGAATGCTATGCCGAACACCGCCAAGGCAAGGAATTCTTTCATCCTTTGCAGACCGTGCATGGACCGAGATAGGAGACGCTGATCGATGGTAGTTTAGCCGCTACCTACACACAGACTGCAGACATAATGCACATCTGGCGAAAACACTTTGACTGTCTCTTGAACAACCGTTCAGAGATCGACTGGCCTACTCTGAATGGCCTCAAGCAGCATGAAGTGAAGGCGAGTCTGGCAGACACGCCTACACTAGATGAGACGCAGAGGGCACTTGCTCAGCTGCAAAACGGAAAGCGTGCCGGTATCGATGGCATCCCGCCTGAAGTATTGAAACACGGCGGACCCGCGTTGTTGACTGCGCTGCACCACTTGGTGCAACGTGTATGGACTGAGGAGATGTCTCCGGAGCTGAAGGACGCCCTTGTGCAACCACTGTACAAGGGCAAAGGTAGCAAGCAATGTTGCACGAATTATCGTGGCATCAACTTGCTGAGTTGTGTGGGCAAGGTGATTGCCCGAATCCTGCTCAGTCAGGTTGTGGAACCTAACGTGACGGAACAGCAGTGTGGAAAAGTGCAGAGAATGACACCAGCCGTTGTACTGGTTTTTGTTGATTTCACCAAGGCATTTGATACGGTGAACCGCGAAGCATTGTGGCTAATGTTAGGTAAGTTTGGTTGCCCGCATAATTTTGCATGTTTAATGGAATGCCTGCACAAAGGTATGCGAGCGAGGGTGCACCTTAGTGGACAGCCCTCGGATGACTTTGCAGTTATCTCTGGTGTGAAGTAAAGCTGTGTCTTAGCTCCCGCCCTGTTTAATATATATCTTCATGCAATGTTGCCTTTGCTTTTGATGCCGCTTGTGCTTACGGTGTTCGTGTGGAGCACCGCATTGATGGTGGGTCGCTGAACATTCGTCGTTTCGGTGCGAGAACTCTAGTCTGTGAGACAACTATCTGTAGGTTGCTGTTCGCTGACGACTGTGCATTGGTTGCACACAGCGCGGATGAGTTGCAGCACATGACTAGTGCTCTGGCTTCGACAGCATCCAAATTCAGGCTCAACAAGTTAAGCAAATCTGTCTGTTTCTTCCAGCCTTCGCCGGAGGTGCAATCTACAGTAGTGCCGCGAATCAGCATTGGTGCTGAAGTATTGGAAACCACCTCCCGCTTTTGCTACCTTGGGAGTGTGATGTCGACTAACCAGCAGATACACAGTGAGCTTCGAATCGGCGTTTTCAAGGAAGCTCCGGCATTCGGGAAGCTAGAGTACCGAATGTGGAACAACCATCAGCTTACTGTTGGTACGAAGCTGATGGTGTACAAATCCATGGTGCCGTCCGTTCTTCTATACGGCAGTGAAATGTGAATGATGTGCCGGCGGGATGTGAGATATCTCGAGCAGTTCCGTCAACAGTGTCTTAAAAGGATTCTGCGCTTTGGTTGGTGGGACAGAGTTGCGGATACGGAAGTGTTTAGTCGAAGTGGAATATATGCAGTGGACTGCATACTTTTGCTGAGACACCTTAGGTGCCTCGGTCATGTGAGCCCTATGGAATCGACGCGGATACCGAAGCAGCTATTATATGGTCAGCTGAGTGTGAGGAAGTGACATAATCAAAGTGAGCCTCTCACATTCCAATCATGATTGCAAGTCATGGAAATCGAAGACGGTCGGTCGGCGTGCATGGCGCGAGCTGATCACGAAGGCAGTTGCCGACGTGCAAGAGAAAGCCCTCGTTGATACGGAAAATATAACAGCAGTTACGTAAGCGACAGGCGCCGATGAGCACGGCGAAATAACCGATGAGTATGCATGCAAACAACATGCCCAAGCCACTGAAATCTGCGCAGAGAAATTATGCTGCTCAGTAGCCGTGGAAATCTGTCTGATCAGAAAATCCCCCATCGAACATCCTCGTCATCATTGTGATGTTACCGTTGTAAACCAGCAATGCTGCTGAAGGTCGTTGTGATCAAAAACAGACAGCGCAAACAGGCCAGGTCTCGCAGCCATAAAGCAGAAGTGCTCTCACTGTGGCATTGTTAACTTGGCCCTTCAGAAACAGACTCAGATCGCTCCGACGCCAGAGATGGCGGAGCTTGGTAAAGCAACTCGAGCCTTGGAGACGCGCAAAAAGACCTCATCCGTTAAATCGTTGGGGTTGATGCAGCTTCCGAGGTAAACGAACTTATCCACTACTTCCAATAAATGACCTAGAAAGGTAAGGGCAGGAGTAGCGCTTAGGCATTCCTGCAGGAAGATCTTGCATTTCAATGGTGCGAAGGTCATTCCAAACTGAGACATACACGTCCCACCTACAAAGGACATTTTGCGTAGCCTGTGAGTAATCGCAGGTTACGGCGAGGTTGTCTGTATACTCGAAATCACGAAGTCGGTCCTCCGGAAGCAGCTAAATGAAGCAGAGTTCGCAGTTCTCCAGAGCGCTCTACAAGATTTCGTCCACAGGGAAATTAAACAAGAAGGGGGATGCTGGGAAACCCTGTCTTGCGCCACTGTTAATACTAAAGAGGGCGAAAGTCCGTCGTACACCCGCACGCGACCGGAAGTTTGAGAGTAGATGGCTTGAGGTAAGGTGACATACTTCTCGGGCACTCCCATTATCGGTAAACAACTCCAGACAGCAACTCTGTGGACTGAGTCAGATGCGGCTCGTATGTCTAAGAAGACAACTATCGTTGGTAGACCAAATGTTTGACGACGCTCGAGTATTTGGCGGAGTGTAAACATGTGACCGATGCAACTCCGACTTGAGTGGAACCCAGGTTACTCTTCACGTATGCCGTGTTCGTGTACGAGGATGAGGCTACTTGAAAGCAGAGCTGCGAGCAACTTGGAAGCAACACAGATGAGACTAATCCCCCTGTGGTTGGCGCAGTCAGTTCGGGCATCATTTTGGGAGCCGGGCACGATATCCGCTAGGCTCCCATCAGATGGGATAACTTCATTGACCCATATCTCTTGGAGGAGAGAAGTTAACCCCTAAATAAGTGATGTCGTTATCATTGAAAAGAGCCGGAGGGAGTTCATCTAAACCAAGGGCTTTGTAGCGCTCGTGGGCAACTTCAGCCTCGGATGGCGGCGAAGCGTCTACACACCAGGGAGCGCTATGGACTCCAGAATGGGAACTCATCGGTGCTGCTGACCAAATAAACTGCTGTTCGAAATGCTCGGCACAACGTTCGAGTCGGCGCTTTTGACAGTGGGGATTGCCCCCCCCCATTGGTTTCGCATGAAATTTCGCTTACAGTCGGCCTTCAGAGGCCAGTAGATCGGACCGGGAGGAAAAGCTTTCGGAAACTCCCCGAGGTGGCTGCTTGCTCCATCCCAATGCCCCGCTGTGTCCACCAGGCCTCACGATCTTCCCAGAGAAGCTGTTTGAGCTCAGCGTTAGTACTCTTGCGTAGTGAATGGCATTTAATGCTAGCAGGAATTACTCGACAAACTTCGAGAAGTTGGAGGGATCGTGCAAAGATCGAGTGGTTGACATGTCTACTGGTGAAGCCACAGAACAGGGTTGCAAAGTTGTACATGACGCCGCAAATGTGTGTACAGTGTGTTTTAATGTCTGTACATGAGGTGGTCGTTAGCCTTGAGGCCAAGGCATCCTGAAATGCGCGGAAAACGTTCGGAGTAGAAAGCTTAGCTAAATCTCGCCGTTTCTGGCGACGCTGCTGGGAGCCACCAAAACGTAGCGCAACCTTGGCACACACTAGCGAGTGATCCGAAGTGCGATAAGTACTACAGATTGATTTGCAACTCTGTACGCAGCCCCGCCAGCGATAGCCATTGGCGATATGTTCAACTTGTGTCCACGGCTGGCCACGTAATGGGATCTCCAGGTGGCGCGTTGGCGCCAGGATCCCCGAAAGCTAGTGCTCGACAGAAACAGACCTTAATCGGCGCAAACCTGAAGTAGGCGATCACCGTTGTCCGTCTTGCGAATGCCATGGCCGTGCTGACCACCGAGTTCACGTTCGTCAACTTCAAGTCTACCGATCTGTGCCTTCAAGTCCCTGGCGAGCACAACAATGTCAGCACTGCGCATTTTGAGAAGGTCGACCAGTTGACCATAGAACATGTCCTTAACTGACTCCGGGCTGCAATCTGTGAGCAGCGTCTGTTAGCTTAGCGCCTGGACAATCGCACTGTGGTCTCAAGTCGGATCGCGCACAGTGGACTTTTGACAGGGATCCAGTCTAGTAGCGCGGCCTCAGCACGTGTGCTCAACGAAACCGCTACACCAGCATAGCCAGCAGTTTCGGCGGATGAGTCTCCAGACAGGCGCAAAGTGAAAATGCCAGCGGAATTCGCGAACGGTGAAACTAGTCGCAGCGTCGTGCTAGTCCGGTAAATAGGTCTCGCTGAGACAGCAGAAACCAATTGCCGTAATTTCTATAGTGCGAGCAAGGGATGACTGTGATCCAATCTGCATCAGCGTCCGAACATTGAGGGCTGCTATCTTGAATTGGGAACGGGACGCTAGAAATGGCTTGTCAACACGACTTGGCGCACCCTCGGACCTAGGCTCTTGATCCGTATGGTGAAAACGTTCGCACAAGGCGGCACGGTAGTGTGAACTTGGAAACGGAGGGGGGGCGACCAAGAATGGGGGGTTAAACAAACGTGAAATAAAGTGATCAAATGGTGGTGCGGTAAAACGTGTTTTGGCAGGTTCAGCCGACAGCATGTCGGCCGCGGAGAGCAGTTCAAGAGAGTGAGAGCAAGGAGACCGAGTAAATAATTGTTAAGATAGGGGTGTAGGTGGGGAATTCTCCAAGTCCCTGTCTTACCTTGACCAAACTTCATCATATCCCGCAGTCGGTGGTCTAAGGCGTTAAAAGTATCATCCGCATTAGGCAATCCGCCATCGCCCAGGTGACACGGTGCACGCGAACATGTTCGGATGACATCCCTGTGCCTACATTTTGCTCTATACATACATCCGACATTCTATTGGCTGAAGGCGCCTGACCAGTGAGGCAGCAACACGATGGTGCGCGCGGGCACCCACGGCCGGCTAATGGACGAACCAAGTTGTTTGAAAAACAGAGAAATTGAAAAACGCTACAGTCTAACTAGATTTCGCTAAGGACTAACTTGCCTGAGAAATGGTATAGACAGCCCACGTAAACGAGGTATGTAAAATCCAATTTCAACGCTATAATGATGGTGATTCATTCGCTGTCATTCGAAGTAAGCGTAAGGAATTGGTTAAATAATTGGCTAGCTCAGAAGCAGACAACTGTTGGGTACGAGTGGTCAGAGCAAGCAGTAGAAGGGGCTGCAGTCGTCGTTATCTTCCGCCTTCCTACAGAGTAAGACAGTAGGATGGTTCATAACTGAAGTGGAACAATAATAGCGAGGTTGCGTTCATGACGGCACAAAATCGTTCAGCCCAAATTGTGACACAAGGTCAGGCTGAATTGGGTCGACACACTGTCCCAGTTTGTCAAATCAAGTCTCTATGCTTAAGATGGACGCGACTAAGCAGCATAAAAATGGGCGGTTCAACGTAGCATAGACAATAAGTGCCGTCGGTTGGGAGTAACTTGAGTCTGAAGAGAATCGTATAAAACGAAGCACATGTGTAGGTATACTCCTTCGATCAGAGTATGAAAAAAACGATAAATTGCAAGTGAGAATAATGGAAGCAATTGATAACCAAAGAGGGAATGCGTCCGCGCTGAATTGCTCTTTTACCTAGAGAAGTCGGAATTCAGCATCGTTCGAGCAGAACGTGAGAAAAATGGATCGCCAGAAACGATATGGCGAAGAGCTCAACAACTCACCTTTGCGGACAGCAGATGGTTCAGACTCTTCCGAATCGGAAGAGGTCCCGGGAGGGGTCTCACTTTCTGTAGGGTGTTCCGGAAACGGTGCTTTGCTCGTGCACTCTACGTAGAGCACAGATCCACCCATGGATGTCCAAGCTAAACCCATAACCACACCGGGAGGAGTGTCACGTTCATAAAGTCGATCGGTAATCCATACAGGATGGCCAACGTAGGAATTCATATTCTCTGACGTCACATGGATCGGGGGCTCTTTTTCTACATTTACCAATTGATATGCGACTTTGCGAACGATCTGACAAGATTTCAAAGGGGTTGGAAACGACGTGGTTAACTAGAAAGTTGAATGGTACTAAAAAACATGCAAGTGAAGAGAGGAATCGCACACTGGGCGAGTTTAGAGGATTACAAGTGTAATGTTGGATGGAATCCGTCAGCAATGCCGGATTAAAAAAGGAAATGAAACAGCATGTTTGATAAAATTAGTACTAAAATGACTGAATGGTCACATAGGATAGAAATGGTAAGTTGCCAATAACCCGAAATCATTAAAACTAACGCAAAATTGACTGGAAAAATTAGCAAAGAAAGTCCATGGGGTTGCGTACGGGGCAAAAGTAGAACGCCAGCGACCAGTGATGTGCACCGTCAGCATGGGGACATTTTGTTTTCGTAAATGATTGGATAAAAGGCATATTCAAGAATAATGCCGTTGCTGTTTATGAGTTAAAGTAGACCCAAAAATAAAGAAGGCTATAGTAACATTTGTGTGTGTTAATAAGACTGAATTCAGCTGTAAATTCAAATCATCGGTTAATGGATTACACGAGAACCCTAGGGCAAAGGTGGTTGATGAACCGCTAGCCACACCAGCGCTTGTCACACCACACATTGCTGAAAGTTTATGCACAGTGGAATTCACTATTGCAAAAATCTCCGGTCAAGTCTCCCGCTTGTCTTCCTCGACTTACCCAGGACCTGATGGAATTCCCCCTTGTTTGTTAAAAAGCGGTGGGAGCGACTTGCCTCTTCTATTGCTCAACATTTTTACGCTCTCTTTTAACAGTGCAGTATATTCTAATCACTGGAAGACTTCCGTTGTTATCCCGCGGCATAAGAATGGAAACGTTTACGAAATTAAAAATTATCGCCCCATCAACCCACACACCTGTAATATCTAGAATTATGGAAAGGATAGTGAAAGATGAATTACTTATTTTCTTGAATAAGAAAAAGGTCATCAACAATTCACAACACGGTTTTTTGCAGGGCAGATCTTGTGCGACATGCCAGACAGACTTTTTAAACCACACAACGGCTGCCATAGACAAAGGCAACAGTGATATTGTCCTGTTCTTAGACATGCAAAAAGCATTCGACAGAGTGCCGCATCGAAGACTACTCCTCAAGCTAAAGGAAATAGGTATTGGAGAACCAATGTTTTCTTGGTTATCATCATACCTAGCTGACAGACATCAGGTGATGCGTATTGGGGACCGTGTCTCTAAACCGAAAGCAGTCACCAGTGGAGTAATTCAGGGAAGTGTACTTGGTCCACTTCTTTTTCTCCTCTACGTCAACGATGTATTTCATAGAATAAGACATGGTGCTACTTTTCTGTTTGCTAATGACATTAAAATCGTCTACTCACAAGAACGTGCAGGTACCTGCGCAGCCTTGTGCCACATTCAGGAAGATCTATCGGCACTTGAATCCTGGAGCAAACTGTGGCAGATGTCCTTTTCCGTGGACAAGTGTAATATTCTGTCGTACATATGCGAAGTTCCACCAGGCAGTCTATTATTAAAAGGCACGTTTATATCACAGTGCAAAGTGATTCGCGACTTGGGTGTGCGGTATTCCACTACCTTCAACTTTTCGGAACATTGTGACTTCCAAGTTTCGAAAGCCATGAAGACTATTGGCTATATCTGTCATAAATTTCAACTCACAGAATCTCGTATCTGGCTTTACAAAACATATGTGTTACCTGGCATGGAATACTGCTCACTACTACAGTCGAATCTGCGGAAATCTGACCAGCATGCTCTTGAGAGGGTGCAGCGACGCTTTACAAAGAAGCTGTGCGGATATTCCTCCAAGATGACCTTCAGAGAGCGCAGTGAAAAATTTGGACTTGATCCAATTTGGCTACGGATAATGAAGATGAACTTGTGTTTCCTGTACAGAATAATTCACCATCACATGCACAATTATGCTAACTGTGTCCATATGGCCGTTAACACTAGATACGAGCTACGAAATAAGGAGACAACGGTCATGATTCCAAAGTTCAATACGCGAATTAGGGAGCGTTTCTTCTTACTACACTGCTCAAAGCTTTGGAACAAACTCCCAAGAGCTATCAGAACTTGTTGCACATTGCGTTTGTTTAAGCTTTCGATAAAAGATTATTTAACCGTTCAAAATGTGATAATAATGTTTCGAACAGCACAGTCCTTAGATAACGCTTTTGAGAACGGAGTTAATGGTGCCTGAAAATGCATGTGGTCAAGTGCACAAGTGGTTATATTTTGCTGGCCCGCAGCACTTTATTCTCTTTTTTTCTCGTGTGCGATCAACTCTCATGTGACTGCTAAAAACTTGTCAGACGATAGAACAAGAGGAATGTAAATATTTTGGACCGCTTCGCGCTACACAAATTTTCATTTTGTGCTCACATTTTTTAAAATTTATTATACCATGATATGAAACTGCTGTACCATTATTTGATCCGTCCCTTCTGGGAACGGCTTCTCGCATCGTCGAGCCATATACAATTTATTTATTTATTTAAGTTCTCGGCAATGATCACTAGAGAGTAAAACGTAGGCACAAAAGTGTCATTTTCAAATAGAAGGCAGCCAAATGAGAAAAACAGACAATAAATGGTTAGCTACATAGTTTAGACACCAGAATACACAAGGAAAAAGATGGAACGAAAGAGGGGAGAGGAACGGAGAGAACATGAAAGGACAATGGGCTGCTGTAATAAACCCAGAAAGGATGAAAAGTCCAGCCGGGTATGGAGTAGACAGTGTCGCGATTAAAACTGGACACTGTGGCAAGTAGGTAGGCGCCGCCCACCTTTTCAATGTGCTTCTGTAGATTCCGAACTCCACTCTCTCGACAGTATTGCTTGATTAAGCGGACCAGAGCAGCACTGTCGATAATCATCCGATCGGTTGTCAGGCCACATTGGTCGGACGCTTGGGGCAGCAAGTAACGCTGAATGAGAAAAGTGGAAAAATGTAAAAAAACCCAATAAGAAATGAACCAACGTATTGAATGGAAAGGTAAAAAGCAAGATCGCGAGGACGCAGAGAAACCAGAAACAGCACGAACAAAATGATTGATGACCATGCACAATGGAGAAACAAGTTTCCATCTTCTGAGATATAAGGAAAACAGAGTGAGGAAAAGTTCAACACTGAAAAGGAAATTACATGAACCTAGTCCACTTGTTCGGAAGTCTGTAGTCATCATTAATCTACATGTCAGCTAGAGGGTGATTACGGGAGTGTACGATACAATTAACAAGGCCATGAGCCATAAAAATGGGATAAATGGAATGCGATCGCATTTCGTGACAACATCCACTATGACAGCAAACTAAAAAGATAGAAAACAAAGGGAGCGAAGGGAGATGCGAGTGAGTGCCGGTTGGGTTCCCGGCAATTCTCGACCATCGAGTAGGTTATCACACAATTTTACCCTTGTTAGATTGATAAAATGACACAATTGCGTTTACTTTTAGATTTTTGTGAGTAGTGTAATGTTTGTAGAAAGTAGAAGTCACGATTAAACTGCACACAGTAATCTGCCTCGCGCACCAAGCAGAAGTCATGTATTAAATTGCGCACCTGATTATCCGACCTCGGTAGCTCAGTGGTAGAGCAGCGGACCGGTAATCCGTGGGACCGGGGCTTTGATTCCCCCTCAAAGCAGATTATTGTGTGCAGTTTAATCGTGACTTCTACTTTCTACGAACAATTGCGTTTAGCGACCTCCGGTTAATTTTTGCTGGATAGGTTAACAAGATTATTTCTTGTTAGATTTCACCGTGCATTAAAATTATTTCGTGGAACCTACAATAGCATACAGTTTTACTTATGATTATAAGAGTTTTCAACCATAAATACATGTGATCACTAGTTAACTTCGGAGATCATGCTATTGCTTTTTGCTCCACAATTGGGCGCCATCTTGGTTTCGGATTTTTCATAATCCCGACACAATCACCATGTGGTTCATGTTCCCAAGTTGTCACGAGTCGTTGAAATGCACTCACATGTGTTGTGCCGAGTTAAATGCCATATTTCGTGCATTGGACCATCGATGGAGCATTTTCAGCGTTTTTGTGAAATCCAACCGCATTGTAAGGTGAATCATTCCGTTGAGAGCAGCCCCCGTGTGTTTGGCCAAACAGACTAATCCGAAGCGCCTCCAGGTTTCAGATAAGCTTTCCTGTTCATCCCGTGCAAACGCACCAGCATGAAGTCCAGCAGGCACCAACAGCCCAGCTACACCATACGCAAATATTTCACCTACGTTGTATTCTGCAGACATAGATGTCCCAATGTGTGACGGTCTGTGTATTAAAAACACTTGGAAAGCACAAGGACAGAATAGACATATAAATGAAGAGTTCAGCCGCTGTAGATGAACGACAGATCAGACCACGAAAAGCCTGAAGCGTCTAAATCTCCATGTTTACAGTTAGATCCGGTGGATCGAGAACGACTCAAGTCTAGCAGCATTGAACTGAAGAGACGAAACGGTGATGGGGAAAAGAGCCTTCGTATCGGAAATTTGCGGGTCGTTGCCAAGATTCCACAAATCAGGATAAAGAGGTTGCTCACACTTCAATCATGCCCGGTGATTCCTGCTGCGGCCTGCGTGCAGCTTTTACCAAACACCTCTAGTCTTATGAACAAGCGCGATGAACCCTGTCTTTTCAATGTATCTGAACGGTCAGACATAATAGGACTCGCAGAGACGTGGCTGAATTCCGAGGTGATAGCCCAGGAAATCGAACTCAGTGGCTGTTCATGCTTTCGCTGCGATAGACTATCGACTGCATGCGGTGGCGTTTTGCTCTACATCCGCTTCTCTCTGTGTAGGACAGTTGTGAGCGCCTACAGCAGCGATGATGGTCAGTGTACAGCTGTGGCACTCGATCCACCTCAGACGAGGGAAACTGCTCATGGGTGCAGTTATTGCAGTTCCCTGAGCCGTTGTTTAGATTGACTATGGCTTCTCCGAAGTCACATGAGTCGTCCCTATTTTCTACGCACAAATGAGTTAAATTGTTTTCGGATAAGCTGGCCTGAAGTTGAACTTATGCGAGGTCGAAACAAAAGTTTGTGGACTTAGTACTTGAAAGTGGAATAGCGTAACATATATACAAGCCGACATGAAAAATGCCGTGCTCAACTCCGTCGTGCCTGGACTCGGTTTTAACAAGCTATGAACAACATGTATATGACGTTTAGGTCCTAGAGCACCTAGTAGCAAGCGATCACTCAATGCTCATAACCAGTATGGATCTATCTTTACCATATTCCCTTTAGATAGAGTCAGCTTACAACTACTGGAAAACTAACTTGGAGATTCTAACTCAAGCCGCAAATCAAGTAGATTGGTCTTTGCCGCAAACTGTATCCGTGGAAGACCGTTGGGCTGTTATTAGAGAAATAGTGACATTATTGTGTTCTCAGTTTGTACCCTTGATGTGTCGGAAAGTTGGACCAGTCAAGCCGCATTGGTTTGACAAGGAGTATGGTAAAATGGCTTGGTGGCAGCGCAAATTGTGGTAGAAATTCCTCCTCTCCAGCTCTTCCAATGATTACGAGGCGTATAAAAGGCTGCGAAACACTTGCAATAGAGCAAAAACAAGCAAGTGACGACATTTCGAACAGCAGATAACAACCGCCGCAAAGACAACGCCGAGAAGAATAACTAATTATATGAGGCTGCGCCTCAATCCAGTAGGTGATCTGCTAGTGCTAGAGGGCTCGGACGGACAGCTCCTAACCTCTAGCTCTGAGCGAGCGTCCGCCTTGGCGACGCGCTTCGCTTCTGTGTTTACAAATTACCAAGTATCGGTACCGAGTTCGACATATACCGCGCTTACCGAACTCAACAGTCTGGTTTGCGGTGTTGAAGAGATGCATCAACTACTCCCCAACCTTGACGACACCAAGCCTACTGGATCTGAAGGACTCCATCCACTGATTTTCAAGTCCCTATCAGCCATCATCTCACCCGCTGTGACTGATTTGATCAACAGGTCACTATTCAAAGGTGCATTGCCAAACGAACGAAAACGCCCAGTGAGTAAGCCGATTCCGAAAAGTGATGACCCCAGCAAAGTGGACAACTACAGGTCGATTTGTCTGATACCTATTTTGATCAAGGTTGCCGAGATCGTGAAGAATGGTCCATTAAAGCTGCTCCATTCAAAAGATCTACTGACGCCCGCGCGACACAGTTTTATGCTAGGCTTCATGCATTACCAACCTGCTGGTGACGAGACATGAAGGGTTGCAGAGAGTAAAGCAGGGGACGTCCGTCGACGTCATTTACCTCGATTTCAGTACAACGTTCGGCAAGATAAATCATGAGGTTCTCCTCCACAAGCTGAGAATGCGCTGTGTTAGTGGGACACTCGTTGGGCGAAAGTGGAGGGTACAGGACGACGGCCTTCTAACTGACTGGTATCCCTCTACTAGTGGAGTACCCTAAGACACGGTGCTGCGGCCCACTTTGTTCCTAATTCCCATCAACAATCTACCTCAGCTCCTTCAGTCATCGTGTGCCCTGTTTGCAGACGACATGAAAATTTGGAGAGAAATGAGTACACCAGACGACTGCAGTCTACTACAGTACGACTTCAACCGCCTCTCCATGTGGTCAGCAGAAGTCCGCCTCCCAGTCAACAAATCCAAGTCGGTATTTATGAGCCTTCGGAAAGGTGGCGATGACCAAATTAACACCATTGACGGTCAACCGATACATCCCACACCTTCCGTGAAGGATTTAGGTGTCCTCTCGCGCTGTAGTTCGAAGTCCGTTAACAACACGAACAGACTAGATCGTAACGGACTGTATATGCTCTGGGCAATCAAACACAGCTTCTGTACTTGGTCTGAAGAGATCGCCACTCGCCTTTTCATCATTAGACCACTACTGGAGTACGGCTCATCTGCCTACTGCGCAAACACCCGAGGCGAGGCACAGAAGATCGAACGGGTCCAACACGTCACTACCAGGTTCAGTCCAGGTTTACAGGAATTATCGTACGAAGACCGGTGCGAGAAACTCGTACTCTACACTTTGTACTGTCGTCGGGTGCGAGTCGATCTCATCATGACTTCCCCATGTTGAAGCCGCTGCTTCATTTGCGAACGCCATGCAATACACAAGGACACCGGTATAAGCTTGTGGTGCCGGATATAGAACGATTACCCCACCCCCTGTGTTTCGAACGGAGAGTGGTAGATGATTGGAACCGTCTACCGGAACGAGTCATGGAGGACAAATTTGTACAACAGTTGAAAACGTTATTGGATTTACATTTCAGTTCCAGTCGAGTAAGAGAACGATTGCACACCAGCAATGGCATCTTGCATTTGCGAAACCTGTGAACCTGAAAGTCAGATATCCTAGAATTCAAGATAAGAACTTGTCAAACGATTCGATTATCATGGAGTGCAGATAGGTTTTATGACACATTACGATGGAGTTGTACAGATTTATATTTCGACTTGCGCCCTTATACAGTGTTTAATATTCATGTGTTTAGGAGCATACTATTAGTGGCGATCTCAGATTAATCAAGGAAGGCAGAGACGCAGGCCAGGTAAATGTTGATGAAATGCACAGGGACCCATAACAACCAAAATCAGGATAAAAGCATAACTCGTTACAAATTGATGGCGTAAAACCGTTGAAACGACAGCGCGTGCACACAAAGAAATGGTGTCAAATATCAATTTGAACAACGGGGAGAATTTATGTGGACAAAGCACTAGGGTTTGGAATAAAATACGATGTAAAGCATCTATCGCTGTGTGATGAGGTAACGAAATGGACGGTGTTGTGTGTGTGTGTGTGTGTAAAAACCATATGAACACTCACGAGTGAGGGGGTTTTCGGTGTTTTCTCGTCAGTAGTGTGCATCCATCGGCTATTGGTTACTGGCGAAAGTCAGTAACGGCCATGGG